TACACACACACACACTCTCTCTCTCTCACACTCACACACACACTCTCTCACACACACACACACACTCTCACAAACACTCTCTCTCACACTCACTCATACACACACACACACACACACACTCTCTCTATCACACACACACACACCGTAAACCTGTGATAAACTACAGCTGTGGAGTGTGTAATGATTTTTATGCACACACATGTTCCTGTCGCAGTTGTGTTTGTTCATGAATCTGTTATTTTTTATTGATTATGATTTGTGCTCACGCTGTCCGCGCAGATGAGATCTGATCCACAGATGCTGATGAACGGGTTTTGTTTAGAGATGAGTGTTTGACGCAACAATTAGTAAATAAACTGCAGAACGTTATGTTTTCTAATACACGCGCGCATTGCATGTATTCTGACAGCGCTGCACGAATTCGCAGCAGATCTGCTTGTTAACCAGGGTTCAAAGTCCAAAGCGCGAGGAAAATCTGTGCTGATGAGACTCATTTATAAATCTGTTGTCAACAAAAATAAGCATTGAGGTCTTCCTGCGTGTTTCCGCCAAAATAAAAGTTGAGAAAAAGCAAGAACTCTTATAAACAATCATAAATGTTAGTATTGTAATGTTACTGTTGTTCTGTAAAATAACATAAAGAGTAAGACAATAATAATCATAATAATCATTACAACAGCTCTGTTTTAATACATTTATTATAACATTCACACATAGTGTTCAAATTAGGATCTGTAATATTTTCTAATGTTTTAAAAGAAGTCTCTTCTCAACAAGGCTGCCTTTAATTGTACAGTAAAAAAAAATAAAAATGCATGCCTGATTCAAGAAAGGGGGTCTGATGGCCAAAAATTATTATTTTACTAACTTATTAATTTTAAGTTAAATTGTGCTTTGTTGGTATAGTGTCTGCTAGAATGTTAAAAATGTTCAGTGTTAAATATTTTTAAATTGTTGTTTTGTAATTTATTTTTTTTTCTTTGAAAAGCAAGACAAAACAGTAAAAAGCACATTTTGGCTTTTTAATTTATGCAATGGTGGAAAAAAAATTGGCAAAATACATGGGGAAAAAAACTCAAAAAACCGTGTTCGGTATTCGGCCTTCAGCCCAGTGTTTAATTTTGTTCGGTTTCGGCTTCAGCCAAGAATTTTCATTTCGGTGCATCCCTAAAGCAAACTAATGAGCTGCCCATGGCTTCTGTGGAGATCAGTTGGCATTCAGATGTGGCTTTATTTCATGACGCACCTCACTGTAGGCTCTTTAAAAAGTCACATGATCAAAATTAAGCCCATTAAAAGTCTTAAATAGTCTCAATTTTAATTTTAAGAGGTGGTCAATTTGGGGTTAGAAAAACAGTTGCCCCAATACAGATATATGATTATTAAACTTTAAAGGGTTATGATTGAATGAAATAAATGTTAGCGTGGCTCGTTTCAAAGTTAAAGCGCGGCGCTGTTGCGTGTTCAACAGGATCACGTTTCAGAGTGAACACCACACATTTATGCCTAATGATTGCTAATGACGCACGCTATGTGCATGTTATGGTGTTTATTATAATATGTTGTAGATGGTTGCAAGATGCAGATTTTATGTTTCGGCTAAAATAGCAAAGCATTGACATTTCAGAATAAGAGTCCCTGTGTATTTAATGCTTGTTTATGATTAAAAGGCCCTCGTTATGCATAAACTATTTTTTCCTTGCTATTATTGGTATTTTGGTCACACAGTAAACTATCTGGCATTTAAACCAATGTAATCACTTCTATTTTCTCTCTGAGTTCAGTTTCAGTTCAGTTCATGTGTAAATATTGAATAAGACATTTCTTAATTTAGCAGATGCTTTTATCCAAAGTGACTTACAAATGAAGACAATAGAAGCAATCAGAATCAACAAAAGAGCGACGATATGCAAGTGCTATAACAAGTCTCAGTTAGCTTAACGCAGTACACGCAGCAAGGTTTTTTTTTTAAATATAATAAATAAAAAGAAAACGGATAGAATAGAAAAAGAATAGAGCAAGCTATTGTTAGAGGCCTTCGTTTTGCTTTTGTTAATTGTATAATAAATAAAAAGAAAACAAATAGAATACAAAAAGATTAGAGAAGCTAGTGTTTTTTTTAAAGAAAACAAGCAGTAAATGAATAGAGTGCAAGTCTAAAAGGAGCAAGTTTTTTTTTTTTAAAGAATAGAATTAGAATAGAGAGTGCTAGAGTTGGAAGAGATGTGTTTTAGCCGATTCTTGAAGAATCTACACTTTTACACTTGCACTTACACTGTTTTGCGGTTATTTTGAGATGATATGTGTTTGTTCTGTAACCGCATGCTGTATTTTATTTGTACAGGTCTTAAAAAGTCTTACATTTGGTTTTTAAACACTGAAAAGGCATCTGCTGAACTTCAGGTCACTTCCGTCGCTGCAGACCCGATATGTGTCGGGATCTGTTCAAGTGCAACTTTTACTGAAGTGCTTTCAGAGTCGCAGGAAGTAGAAAGTGCCGCTCTCATCTGTTCTTACAGATGTGTCTTCTGGTTCTGCTAATGTGAAGATTATTTTTGCGGCCCCATCAGCAGGTCCCATGGAGAGGAAGTCTCTGGTCTTGTATTGAGAAACAGCCGACACTTCTCTGTCGCAAAATTAAACTCTCGCTTCCTGTAACTGTGCGATGCCTGCTTTTCTGACTCTGCAGCGGTCGAGAAGCGCCGAACAGAACGGCAAACCAAATTTTTGTTAAACCACACTGACACATCATTGCGCTGAGTGACCTGATGCCACCTGAGCTCAGCGTTTTTATGTAAAACTGAGTTCACATTCAAAAAATCAGCAGACTCAGTAAATATAGACATATATTGACAAATAAATATCATCTGATTTGACTTTTGAGCTGAAATTCTGAAATTCTGCCCATGAAGCATAAGGTTGGAGCGCTCACTCACTGCACACTAAACACTGCACACTGCATACTGCTTCAGAATTACAGCGAGTAAAGCTTTACAGTGTGTGATGCAGTGTGCTCTGTTGAGTACTGCAGTAGTGTACACATGCTGTATACTGCAGAATGCTAGTATGCTAACCCTAGTGTCTTCTGGTTCTGCGTTTGTCTCTTCCAGTTATCTCACTGTGTTGTTGTTGTTGTTTCTAATGCTGCCTGTACTTTAGGATTGCTTGCTGCAGAAAGTAGGTATCCCACGTAGCCTTTGCTTGCCATCCAAACAACATCTTCATCTTTATCTTCATCATCTGTTGTCTTGCATGTTCTTCAGCACATCTGTCCATCAAGTGCTTCTTCGTTTTCCACTGAAACGTGACTCAAACAATCAGAAACCAGGATTCCTCTCCTTTCCTGTGCTAATGTGAATGATGTCTGAGCTGTGTGAGGATCTGTGAGGTTCATCTCCATCTGTTGAGTTTTAGGAGGTTCTCAGGAGCTTCCATGATGCGTCTGATTCTTTATTCATGCACATGCACTGGTCTTTGGCAAAGAGCTGGTTTGGTGTCACTGATGGTTGTGTGTTTGTGTGTTTAGGGGCCGTGTCTCAGGTTCTGGACAGTCTGGAGGAGATCCACGCGCTGACCGACTGCAGTGAGAAAGATCTGGACTTCCTGCACAGCGTCTTCCAGGACCAACATCTGCACACACTGCTGGATGTGAGTAAACACACACTCTCTCTCTGTGCGTGTGTGTGTGTGTGTGTGTGTGTGTGTACATGTGCACATGCTTGTTGTGAGGAAAAGCAAGTAAAATCAGGCACACAATGTTTGTTCTCATGATGTTTTCTTCCACAAATTAAGGCCTAAAAAGCTCTTAAATCAGAGTATAAAGTCTTAAAGTCTTTGCATACACTGCAAAACATGAATCTCTTCCTCAGTGTTTCTGTCTTGTTTTCCAGCGCAAATATCTAAACATCCTTAAATCAAGACACATTTACTGGAGACGCAAATTGAACATATGAAGTCTTGTTTTATTAGAAAGTGATCAAAATTAAAAACAAGAACAAATATCTCAATGAAAACTTGTTTTCCCTTTGAATTAAATTTTTCTGACTCTGTTGGGTCAGATATTTGGTCTTGTTTTAATGATAAACTCGCTTCATTTTGATCAGTTTCTCATGAAATAAGTCTTCTTGTTTTAAGTAATTTAGCTCATCGCTCATGTCAAGTAAATGTGTCGTGATTGAAGAATCTTTAGACATTTGCACTGGAAAACAAGACAGAAATACAGAGGAATGAGGATTCACTGCTGTTAAAGCTGATGTCGGCACGAGTGTGTCATTAACTGAATTTTACCGTACATTTCTGCCACCATCACTGATAAGCTACTACTAAATATATTGTAGAAACTTAATTTTCTGTAAAGCTGCTTTGCAATGATTTGTATTGTGAAAAGCGCTATACAAATAAACTTGAATTGAATTGAGTGTGTGTGCACATGCATGTTTAAACATGTAAAATGTGGCAAATGTTTGTTCTCAGGAGTGACAGTTCAGCAACACAAACTGTGGAAAGTGTCCTTTGATTTTGAGCTTCTGTTCAAATGTAGTTCATTCTGTGAGAGAGATTGCCTGATATAAACACGTGTGTGTGTGTGTGTGTGTGTTTCTAGATCACGAGATGCATGCGTTCAGCTGATGGTCTCACTGATATGACTGATGAACTGAACTGTGTGTGTTTCAGCTGTACGACAAGATTAACACCCGCTCGTCGCCGCAGATCAGGAATCCGCCCAGTGACGCCGTCCAGAGAGCCAAAGAGGTGCGTAACCAACACGGCACACACTCCTCGAACCTCTCTCAGCTCCAGGAGCGTCTGACGGATGTTCTGTGCAGCGTTTATATCTGTGCTCTCAGAGACTCTTGTCAAACATTACATACATCTGAACATTCACAGTCAGAACCTTCCAGCATTCATTCATGTTTCAAACGCAAGGAACGTAGCGAGTAGATGAATGGATCAGAATATGAGGCTTCGTCACGTAACACTCGGTTAATAAGACTAGAGCTTCTTATCTTCAGCTCTGGTTTACATTAATATGTGACCCTGGACCACAAAACCAGTCATAAGGGTCAATTCGTTGAAATTGAGATGTATACATCATCTGAAAGCTGAAAGCTAAGCTTTCCATTGATGTATGGTTTGTTAGGATAGAACAATATTTGGCCGAGATACAACTATTTGAAAATCTGGAATCTGAGGGTGCAAAAAAATCTAAATATTGAGAAAATCATCTTTAAAGTTGTTCAAATGAAGTTCTTAGCAATGCATATTACTAATCAAAAATTAAGTTTTAATATATTTA